AGGTTTTTCTAAATAAAAAAATATTTATTTATTTATTTATGCAGTTTAGGATCAACTCCAATATGAAAATAAAATTGAAAATGTAATCAATGAAAAACAAAGTAAACAAAAATGAACTTACCTTATAGAATATAATAAATGTCTGTAATCAATCATCTGTAGCCATACTTCATAAAGACCTGTAAAATACAAGAAACAGTGTAAATGTGTGAATCAAGGGTGCACCATGAAATATTATAAATAAATAAACCAAATAATCTCTTACCAAAACTGCTGAGTAGGGAGAATTTTCAAGCTACTGTTTTTCATGCATTAAAAGGGGGTGATTCCAAAAATAAATAAAATTAAATTAATAAATAAAATGATTATAAATGTTTCCATCCATAAATATTTTTTTTGAATTATTATTATTTCATGCATTAAAAGGGGGTGATTCCAAAAATAAATAAAATTAAATAAATAAATAAAATGATTATAAATGTTTCCATCCATAAAATTTTTTTTGAATTATTATTATTATTAATAATAATAATATAATTTTATTCATTTTAATTAATTAATACATATAATTTTTAATAATTGACTATATTTATATAGTACTTTTACAATATCATTGTAAAGTCAAAATACAGTATAATTATAAATGTCTAGATTTATAAATAATATGTTATGTGTGTGACTTGAACAGGTCACTCCATCAACATACCGAAATGTGGCAAAAGCAAAAGTCCCAGAACACAGCAAAGATCTGCCAAAAGCCTCGCTGTCCACTGCACTTCATCAGTTCACTCGACTGTTTGTCACTTCCTGTTTGGAGGGAATGTGAATGTGGTTTCATGCTGCTCCTGGGAAACCAAAACAATGGACTAAATACAAAACCTAAGGAAACCTACACACAATATTTACAGTAAACATCAATCTATTTGTAGTACATATAAAGTACAATGACTCCATTCTGAATGGAAATTACTGCTGAAGTCTGCAGGGTTATTATAAATAAAACAAAAACCATCAAAACATAAAAACATTTCCTTTACTTGAAATAAAATTCACTGAAATTAAATAAAAGTTTAACTCGTTTAACTTGTACTAACTTGTTTAAAAGTTTAACTTGTACTAAAATAACTAAAACTAAAACTGTATTAAAAATGAATAAAAATAAAAGTTTTTTTTTAAAAAGCAAAAACGACACAAAATAAGTAAAAAATAAAATGAAAAACAACTAAAATGAAAACAGAAAATACAAAAAATAAAAACATTCTAAATGTTAACAAAAACTGTAATTGTACCTCAATGACAGTAAAATAATGCTGTAATGTGGAATACAAATAAATCTTCATGTTGCACAGATGGACTTTGAGAGACATTCATTTTATTGTGTTTGTGAACACAGATGCTTTTGACTACAGCCAAACAAAAAAAACAAACACACAAAAACATAAAGCACAACCCAAAAACACAATCTAAAACTCTTGGAAGAGTTTCATCGAATTCTATTGTGTATGAACTGCATGATGAAAATGCATGATGAAAATGTCTTTCTCCTATTTGGATAAAAGTAATTGATTATCAAAATATATATTTGTTTTATAAAATGATCAACATTATAACGCTCTTGGCTGTACAAATACCACAAATATCAAACAGAACACTGACAGAGAAATAATGAAGTACTACAACTCACTTATAAATGTATAAACTCATATACAGGACGTGATTGCTTTGTTCTTCATGTGGTTGTGATTTAAAGGAATAGTTCACCTGAAAGTGATTTTTAGCTGAAAAAAAGCTCACCCTCAGGCCATCCAAGATTAGGATGAGTTTGAGTCCATAATCCATAATAACGCTTCCTCCAGTGAAAAAGTGCATCTCTGTTGTCTCTCACATCAAAATCTAGACACATATTTGTTTAGAGCTGTTTAAACAGTGCTTGATCTGTGCAGATTTCTCTCCTGATTCACACCAGAACACTTTTTCACTGGAAGAAGCGTATTATTGATTATGGTTATGGTTTGAAGTTAAAAGCATCTTAATGCTGGATTTGTTTCAGCTTTTGTCTTCTCCAGATGTTAACTGATGGACTGGAGTGCTGTGGAATACTTGTGGATTATTGTGATGTTTTTATCAGCTGTTTGGACTCTCATTCTGACGGCACCCATTCACATCCATTGGTGATGCAATGCTACATTTCTCCAAATCTGATGAAGAAACAAACTCATCCTGATCTTGCATGGCCTGAGGGTGAGGAAATTCACAGCAACATCAGTCAAAAAATAAAGTGGTTTTAGAGGCAGAGCAAAATATGACATTAAAAAAATATATAAAGATAAACATGTTTCTTCAGAATAATGTGCACTACTGAATCACAGGTAATCGAACCAGAAACACAAATTAAAAGTCATTTTGACTTTAATATCTGAATATGGTGAAGATTTTGATTTTGATTTTACGCAGATAAAGCAATACTGAGGCAACAAACTAACTCTGAAATAAATCATTCTGTGGTGATTAAACACATTAAACACAGTGGTAACATACTAGTGGCTAATTTAATAAATAACATTAATAAATAAATACACTGGATTTCGTAAATATGACATTCTGTATATTTGCAGCACTGTAATTAATCTGAAATGCTCGTTACCTTATGAAGTGATGATAAAGTGACGACAGGAAGTCAAATATTTCCTAAAACATAATCAGTGATAAGAAGGATAAAGCTGGAAATATGAGGCATTATTAACAGATAAAGCTAAATACATCTTTAAATCTCCAAAGCACAAATGTTTGCGGTGTTTAAAATCACTCAAAAAGACTCAAAACACGAGTCTTTGGAAATTACCAAACTATTGAATGGAACTGAACTGTATACTACAGTATATAAATTCAATTGAGCTTCAACTGAGGCTGAAGTGAATTCAGAATTTAAGGCTTATTATCAGTTCATAATCTGTCATTTGAACTGAACTGGCCACAACACACGGAATGCAGAATTACAATTTGATTTCCAATCTACAGAATTAGAATTAAAATTATATTCAAATAAATTCATGTAACTGCTAAAAGAGTAGTTAGTGCATTAAATTTTTCGGTATAATTATCAATGACCATGTTCATACACCCAACACATGGTTTTAGAAAGAAGTCTCTTCTGCTCACCAAGGCTGCATTTATTTGATCAAAAATACAGTAAAAATTTGAAATATTATTACAATTTATAATAGCTGTTTTCTGTGTGAATAACTGTTAAAATGTAATTTATTTCTGTGATGCGCAGCTGTATTTTCAGCATCATTACTGCAGTC